AAACGTTGAGAGTCGAGTAATTAAACCGTTGGCTGTTGGACTCCTTGACTGGAAGTTGTTGTCGCCCGCGTGCGTTACAATACGTTGTATCCCGGGGCGACTTACCATAAAACGATCGTCGGAAATTTTGAAAGCAATCCATAAAAGGTACCCGTATGATTGTTTTATGGACGTGTTAGTTCTTTCTTACAAACCGTTCCTTTCGCACTTTTTACCAGCTTACTATCCTAGCCAAAAGGTACTGGAATGTCTTTGGTCATCAGTTCATTTCATGTTTAAACCAATTAATCAACTTGAAAGGTTGAAGAGCATGACAGAAGCTATCGTAAATGCTAGAGTTGCTCTTGGCTGCGTCCCGAGCAACTCTTACGCTTCTCTCGTGCTCTCCAGACTTTCCACTAACTCTTACTTATAACAAGGGAAATAAGCAATACTGTAACAGTCTATTAACTACTTTTTAACAAGCTGCTAGCAGATTATTAACTAACTTACTGATGTGCGGATAATTTTAGCTCAGTCATTTTTTTAAATTTTATTTTATTTACAAACACAATATACATACAATAAAAACTGCCAATAACTTCTCGCGGATTTTTAGAATTTTCTGGCAAACAAAATAAAACTTTGTTGAAAAAAAAATTAAAACAGTCTTCGATTCAGATCAGGGCGTCACTTACGTGTTGTCAAACATAACTAGCGGGGGTAACATAAACTGTGTGAGTGCTTTTCCTGTAAGACGGAGGTTAGAAAAAATGAAATAGCAAAGCTGTTAATCCGAAGAAAAAGGAAAACCAGGCTAAAGAAGTGTTAAACGTGATCCTGCCAACTTTGAACCCACAACCCGTGTCATTAGCGTAGGAAATAAACAGAGCGATGTTACGGCGATCTCTGAACGGATGGCCTTCATTCCAGTCATCAGATGTGATGCAGTTGATTCTCTCGTAGATTCCTTAGAAAACGAACAAAAGGAAACTATAAAATAACACAATGTTACAGGAGCCTATGCGCACCAGAGATACGGTTGTTAGATTTGTTAAAAAAAACCCGAATTCAAGTTTTTAGATAAAATCAATCGAGAGAAAAGTTTTTAAAGACAGTATACTGACACATCTACTCTGTTCGTTTAATATGGGAGGCTTCACTGAAAATTCTCCTCATATTCGAGTAATATTTAACTTTTTGGTGGTCTGTATTAGTGCTGTAGTTGAGCGGTATATATTCCTAAACCCTTCATACTTCCTTTCCAGTGGATATTTCCGGAAAGGAAGCCAGCGTTTAATTTGTCAAAATCATAGTCCAAGAATGTTAGCCAATCAAATATCGTGTGTCTCAGAGTCACTTTTCCTCGCGCCAAACAACCACTGGCTATAAGAGAAGATGATCACTTGGTAAGAGGGACGGACGAATGCGTTTCTGCCGGTGGAGTGCTTTTGCGGCTAGGTAAAATAAATAATAAATTACATTATCATTGGATACATTTTTTTCTTCCTTTTCATTGGCCGACAGCCAACCACATGCCAGGAAATAAATGCCCACAAATAATGGTTTGCTTGTAGGTAGTACCGTCTAAATGCGTTTTGTTGCAGATGATATATTCTGCTCATGCGTAATTGTAATAACTTAACATCCTTACGGCCGGCCTCCTTCGAGAATAGTTCAGGGGCCCGTTTCTCGGTCCCGAAAAGATTTTGCACCCGGAAAGCCATTGCAAAATCTCAAACCTTATGATTACAGAGCTGTTTTATCCGGGTATTCTTAATATGAACAGAGGTTCCCTTCATACAAGAAGTTTCAGGCGTATACACTTCTCCGTTTTTAGATACAGATGAACTAAAAATGGTTTTACGGGTCCGAAAAGTTTCCGGGGCTTTCGTGAAACGGACCCCAGGTCCGGTAACTTTGCGCAGCATCCTAATCCTGTTAAGGGAAATTTAGAAAATTACCAGCGATCTTGTCAACTGACATGAGAATAATTTTCATGATTGACAAAACAAAGCATGAGGTGTAAAAAGTTAAGCATAAATGCTCAAGACACTGTCAGCTCTGTAATAAAAATGCTTAATTATCAAACTTTTAACATTACACAAGGAGGGGGCACTCTTAATACAAGCGCGTAACGCGTTAAAACAGATAGTTCCTCCATACTTAAAAGTTCTCTTTCCCATATTGTATTTTGGCTTTGGTGGGTGCAGGTCGTTACTTCTGCGAGTAACATAGAGATTGTAACATATTAACATCTTTCCGTCTGGCATCCTTCGAGAAAATAAAGAAATATACTATCGAACCTTAGTTTCACTATTTTTGGAGATGGGGGTGGGGGTGGAGTGGGCTCGCTGCTTTCGGAGGGTTGCTACTTTCGGGATTTATCAGCGGCCACAATTTTTTGACCGGTTAATTTCGGGGGATCGCTACTTACGGGGAGTCGTTATTTTCGGAAGTTTAC